TCTACAATTTGTTTCAAAATTTAGCTATCTGTTTAAAACAGATTTCCAAGGAGAAAAACAATATTAAACTCCTCCAGTATGACAGGAAAGTCTCTGAGAGCCTCTGTGTTTAGAAGGAATTAAACTACCATAGCATTTTAGAATTCAAGCAACAGGAAGTAATTGTTTTTACCTTCTTCAAACTTGTTCCTGACTTTTCAAAAGAGAAACTGAATACCTATTTTTAGTCTTAAATACATAACATCGCTGTCGTTTTTTCAAGTCTTGAAAGAGCACTTTGGTTCTCAAAACCCAAAGGAACTTGGGCCTCACACATGTTCATTCATTTGACCTCAAGAGAGGAAATATGATTTACACTTGTCCTCTGTCCTACAAAGTCTTGCACTAGCAGGACACATTGAATACTATCAGGAAAAGGAAATTTAAAAATATGGAGAGCATCAGCTCACACTGAGGAAAATAAAATTAAAAAACATACTGGAAGTTATTTCACCCACTCAAGTGTTTTTCATGTCTTTAAAACTTGCAAATGCTTTTTGAATTTATCTAGATAAATCTAGATATACTTAGCATCTTGACGAAACTCTGCAGCTTGATATGCTCCTGGAAAATTTGGGGGTTGAGATGGAAATAAATCAGGAAGTAATTTAAGGTATAAAAATTTTAAAATACCTTTTTAAGGAAACAAAGTACTTTCTGAAGACAGGTTTTGTTTTTAAACTCAGTTCTGAATTAAAGGGAAACTTTCTGAGGTATGATTTAATTGCAAGTGTTATCTTTCTAGGGAATGAGCAGTCTAGGGGAACTGGAAAACCTGGGCTCTCACGTTCCACCAGAGGGCTGGGAGGCCATGGTTATGCCTCTTTGGCTTTCTGATTTTTTGTGCTTTTCTCTGTCCTGGAGCTGAAAGTAGACATTAAAAAGTGAAGTACTGATTCATAAAATGCTTAAATTCTACTGCAAGACCATAATTGCAGTTTCTCATACATTTTGTCTTCAATATCCATCCCATTTCTACTCCTAGATTTTTTAATTTCTTGACTGTCAACTATCTTTACCTCCATCAAGTACTAAAATCTGGCTTTCTGTCACTGTGAAATATTGATCTCATACTTATGACCTGTAAAACATTTCTGCCATCGCTATGCCCACAATATTCATCATTTATTCCGTTTTAGCACCTATTAGTCAATTTTAAAGAACACAATTAAGAATATTATAAGACCTTGATGGCTCATCCTCAAGATGTGCAACCCAAAGCAACAGAAAACTTTATTTTTTATTTATATTTATATAATTTTTCCACTACAAAATTAATGAAAAATTCCATATGATTAGTGGCCTGGCCTTTTGTTAGAACCCTTATTTCACAAACATCTCTTTTGTACTAATTCTTCTTTTAATGGTCAGCCTTTCATGATTTTGTTGTTGTTGTTTTGGTTTACTGTATTTTTCTTGTTTACACATTGAAGGACTTGCTGCTCTACAATATTTGCTTTATCATGTATCATGGGGTGATATTCCATGATCTTGAGTGGCTGTCTTCAAATGCCCACATGACAAACATTGTTTTTATTCAAATATCTCTGAGAGGTCCATCTGACTCTCCTTTATGAATGTATTACAAACCAGATGTGTTCAGACTCTGCAATTTACCCTCATAAAGCCCTTCAATGATACAGAAATATTATTGACATTTTACGATGGAACAGAAAACGAGTCAGCTTATTAAGGTATCGAAATGCCTAAGGATGCCTTTTGGGGATTTTCAAGGTTGCTCTGACATATAACTCTTATTGAACTAATTGAAGATTTTTCACTAAATGCCTAATTTGCATTTTTAGTTTTCTGAAAAGCTTTAAAATCTGACTCAGTCGTGTCACCCTTGAAATCCAGTGGACCAGCATGTTAAACCCAGCCCTCATCAGCCCTTAAACTCGTGCTCGAAGCACGTGCAGCACTCCCCACAACAGGGGAAAACAGCTGAAATATACTGAAAAACCGAAAAATAAAGATGTGGCACACACCACAAGCATCCAGTCCCCTCCTGGCCTGAGTCACACAGCCAAGTGCATCAGATGTCAGGCAGGAGAGGAGTGGATCTCCAGGGATCTGGCTGCTCCGTGCTGGGGCTGAGGGGCGCCGGGAGGCTGAGCTTGGACACAGACGCTGGCACCAGGCTCAGCAGCCCCTCAGCTCCCTCCCTCCCTCCCCCAGTTAGGGCTGGGTTTTTCCAACAATTCCTGACAGGGGACAGAGCCAACATCCATGAGTGGCTTCAGCCAAAGGTGCTGCATACCCACCATGGATTTGGGCCAGTGTCCACTTCATTTCAGAAACACTTTTCAAAGCATGTCCCTATGGTTGTGTTCGAGGGTCCCAGGACGAGGGAAGAGATGAGAATCTTGATTCCATGTTTCAGAAGGCTTATTTATTATATTATGATATTATATTATATTATATTAAAATGCTACACTAAAAGTACACTAAAAAGGACAGAGAGAAAAGATCCAACAGAAATCTGGAAAGGAAAAAGAATGATAACAAAATCCTGTGACTGCTCACAGCTTCGACACAGGTGGCTGTGATTGATCATCGAGTGAAAACAACTCACATGGACCAATGAAAGATAAACAATGTTGGTAAACAATGTCCAGACCACATTCCACAGCCATCAGATAGTTATTGTTTGCATTTCTTTTCTGAGGCTTCTCAGCTAGAATAGGAGAAAAATCCTAGCAAAGGATTTTCATAAAAATACAAAGGTGACATGTCCCCATGCACTAATTCCCGTACAATGCCTACTCACGCACCTCATCAGATACTTAATCATGCACTTTCCTCCACTCTGATGCTGTAGATCTTTTTAGATTGCTGGTTTGGGTGGCCTAAGAGCCAGTTGTTCAGTTTGACTCAAGCACATCACCTTCACACTGCGGGGGCAGGAAGCCGGAGCAAGGACAGCTTCATCTTCTGCCCAGCTCCGGTAAGGAGACGCTGTCCTTCAGCACCACCTTCCTCCACATCCCTATTCAGGCCTCTAGCGGCTGGAAAGGGAACGGATCAGCTGGCAGGGCTTTTTAAGGCTATTTTGCCCTTGTTAAGTCAATGAAACTCACTACACACAGCAAGCTGGGTTTGGTCAGTGTTGTTTACTGTCCTTTCACTGTGACTATTGCTTCATTTTGGAAGTCGTGTGCACTGCCTTCTTACAGCCCACAGCACCACAACTAGGGACCAGCTAAACAAGCCACGTGGACAGCCATACTGGGGTAAGAAACACATTTTAATCAAAGAAATGTGAGATAATTAGGTAAATGAACAAATTCCTGACACGACCACCTCACAGAACTATTTACCAAGTCAGGGTTTATGGGTAACATGTTGCCTGCTAGACCCTCTGGGACTGGCTGCAGCTGCAAAAAATAAAAACGTTCAGACTGAGGCCAATGGGAAGATGCTGCCTGCAGCATAATTGCTCAGGGCTGTTGCACATTGGCTGGCAAAGGTTAGGGACTGCTGCTCTGAGTAATCGAGCAGGTTCCCAACAACACCGGAAGGCTGTTGTGTAACATGAGTTCAAGAAAAACAGGTAGAAATAAACACACTTTTTTTTTTTTTTTTCCATCTTTAGGTAGAGGTGATAAATTTTTACTGAGCACACCATGTTTTAAAATCACTCCCAAACAGATGCCAGGTATTCCTTTTGCCTGGGGCTGATTAAAAAAAAAAAAAAAAAGCAGGTAGCTTCTGAAAGAAATCTGAAAAGCTGTTATCCAAGTGGCGGAGGTTAAAGTCTCCACATGCATTTCAAGTAGTTTTGTATCCAAAGCAAGCACTGATTTAAGCAGACGACTTTGGAATCATGACCTGATATACGAATACATGACTGATCCTATAGTAAATGAAAATTACAGAAAATCACAGGTGTCTGTCCTAAAATTACTGCTTATATGAACAAAGTAATTAAATCTCCCTATATGAACCAAACAATTAAATTTGCCTACTTTTAAAGAAACCCTATCAAACATAGCATGAATCACTCCAATTTGAATATTTTAAGTAGTGAAAAGCCAGAATGGCTGCAAATAGCTTTGGATGCAAGCAAACTGAATGATGGAAAATTCCTTATTCATTTATTGTGACAGCACATCTTTTTCCTCCCTTGAGTATTTTATTTAGTTTTACTTGTTTTCTCCAGGCCTCCAGCATATCCAAGGATTTGTCAGGAAGTTGCACTCTGAGTGTTACTTCAGGCTACTAAATTACAGAAAAGAGTGTCATTAGACTGCCCTGTGCTAAATGGACTGATTTATTTCAGAGAATAACGAAGCAATGAATACTGTGCTGTGATGACTTGCTGATCTAACAGCAAGGCTTCCCAGTACTGCAAACGTTTATCAACTTCTGTCTTAACTCACTAAATTTCTCCCCATACTGAGCAACCTCAACTTGATGATGTAAAAATAAATATAATAAGCTCCTACTCTAAACTGCAATTTGCCCTTCCCTTGCATCCAGAGACAAATCCTCAATCTTTTCTGGTTTCGTGCAGCTAGAGCTCAGCTTCCTTACGAGAAAGCTTCCTTAAGTTAAAGTTTTTAAGTAAGAGTGTTATGCCACGATGTGCAAGCCATAACCCTGACAAACACCCAGATCCCAACCCAGTGTCCATCCTGTCAGACCTACACCCCCACATCTGCTACAGACACGCCGGGAACACTCCTGTTAGCTTGTGGCACACGGAACCGGCCACTTGCCTTACACCGCCCTCCACTTAAACCGAGCAGCGAAGCGCCTGGCCGCTTCGCCCCGAGCGCCGGGCAGCCGGGGGAGCGGCGGGGCAGCCCCGGGCCGCCGGCCCTGCAGCACTGGCGCCGGCCAGGG